TTCCTGGTTTTTTAATGTATCACATAAAATAAAAACATATTGAAAATTAAACATTATTGCGTTTAATTGAGGCACATCATGAGATGGAGTTGGAAAGTTTTGAAAAAATAATTATGCATCTTAGAATTGGTGAAAGTTGCTAATTCACAATATGGGAGTAGTTACGTATTTTAAAATGTCAATAATGGAAGTAATCTACACTTTTAAAACTCTATTATCTCTTTCATTAAGTAATAATAGCTAACATTTATTGAATATTTACTCTGTGGCCAGCAGACTTCTTAAAGGTATTTAAGAATGCCAATGTCCAGTCATAGTTTCACTAAATTGCATGTTTACTTTGACATTCTGTACAAATGCTATATTTAATTATTAAATTACTAAAATCATTTAATAATTTTGATTATAAAACTATGTAGAAATTTGGAAAAATATTTGACCTATGAATAAAAATATCATATGTGAATTAAAATTATATAAGAAAATTGTGGTAACTAAAATTATAATTGTTCTATACTAGGGTTATACTTTTTTTCTTAATTCCCCAAATACTTCATAAGTCTGTAATTTATTTTATAAATTCAAATCAACAAGCAAATTTAAAACACTAAAATGCTGTGGCAACATTTTGGTACATAATTGTGTACCATTCTACAAGGTTAAATTTAATATCAAGAACTGCCTCTTTCCTCTAATACCAATATTAAAAAGTGTTCAGAGGCTAGTTTGTATAATTAAATAAGAAAACATGTTTCTCTTTTGAATTCTTCACAGATGGAAGAAGTGCAATTATATTGATATTAGACACTTCCTCTTTAAAGTTGCAAAACTTAAAGCAAATTATTAAAATAATTATTTGATGTATTGGATGCCAACAATACCAATACAACCAGCCTTCCTTTTTGGCAAATATGGCCATTTATGCCACATTAGTCCCATACTTCTTTAAAAGTTTATCAAGGTCTAAAAGAGTTTAACTTACTCAGGTGCTACATCCATTTAAAGACCAGCCCTCACTACTATGCAATATATTCATGTAACAAAATTCCATTGTACCCCTTAAATGTATACAAATAAAAATAAATAAATAAAAACAAAATAGTGCAACTATTGGCTATATCGGTCAACTAACCTCTAACATTTTTAAACATAAAAAATTAAATGGGGAAAAATGTAGTTTGGATGTCCTGATGAATTCATTGTAACTTCAGTGCTATCCATCCATAGAAAAAAGGGAAAGTTCACCAGAAATAGCACTACCTTCTAGTTATTCAATTCTTAAATGTAATTTAGTGTCCAAAGTAAACACATGAAAGAAAAGAGCAAATGTTATGAATGTAATATTTTTTTCTTATTTTTCCAAGACCTTTTCCCTATTGACATGTAATTCATGTCTATTATCCTAAATAGTTACATTTAATTTAACATTCAGCTCCACTAGCCATAATTTTGCAAAATTATAATCAATATGAAGCTAATTTAGGAACAGCAATGAGAATTCTATCAATCAGATTTCTGGTAGGAAATAGGTGGCACACTCAAATTAAGATAATTCAGTGAAGGTTTCTTACAAAGATATAACCAGGGTTTAGGGAACCATAAATGAGAATGCAGGACCCGGGGCTAATAAGAGAAAAAGAGTTGTTACCACTTCTAGTCTGGAAGGTAGCAGGGGAGGAAACTGTTCAGGTAAGCAGTGTCTGCATGTTTCATGGCTAGAAGGTAGCCAAGAAAAATACCAAATCTTTGACTGAGGAATCCAGCCAGTCTGAGATGAACACACAAAGAAACCTGGAGAGTAGAGACCCAGATTTCACTTTTTCTTTCTTATTATCTGCTGCTGGGGCTTCCCAATGGCCAACGTGGGGACTGGAGCCTGTTGTTCTAGTCTTTACAGGTCAACTTACAGGAAAGAGGACAGCATGAAAAGGCAAACAAAAGAGAGCTAGCTGAACAACTAAATAGAATTAATATAATAGAATTTGGGGTCCTTCTGAATTAGTGTCTCTGATACATCACATGCAGACATCGTTTCCAGGCTTGACCCAATGTATATGCCAAATATTTACAGAGAAGGCAAAGACCATAAACCACATAATCATCCAACTTACCAAATTAGAGACTGAGAGAGCTCCCATCTTAAAGTGATTCTCTATAAACCTTTATGGCTCTCCCTGAATTGTTACTGTGTCTAGATTTTTAAAATACTATTACTTTGTGAATTATTTTGATTTTACAAATGCCCCTATGATAAACAGTGATCCAGATGAGTGAACATCATACAAGCAATAGCATTTACATGCAAGTCTGAAAACGGGTTAAATTTAAGACTTTTTACTGGGGAGAAAACAAATTAAATCCCCCAAACATTTCTTAAATTATTATGTTTATATGAAATCACAACTAATAGAAAAACAGAAAAGTTAATTAAACAATAAATTATTTGGCCCTCAAGCCACCAATCAGTTTGGATTTTCCTGATCCCTTTCAGGGACTGTAAGATCTCCCAAAGGCCTGAGCAAGGTGCGTGGTAGGAAAACTTTAATCCGTGGGTTTTAGTAAATGCAGCTATAGGTAATTACAAGAAACAGTGTCCCAAAGGAGTTTTAGAATATCAGACCTGGAGCAAATACACTCAAGTTGATCTGCTGATCCATATGAGTTAGTGGAAGAAAAGAATCAAACAGCAAACAAACAAGAACCCAATTTTGGGTTTGCAGAAAATGAAGACAGAGGGAAGGGAAATGTGGAATAATTATTAAATCTCTGTTCAAACTCCTAAAACAGCTGCTTAGGGTTTTCTTCCTTCTATTGTGTGCATTTACTGGGAATTTAAAGACAGTAGAAAAGGCTTTCATTTTCTTAGAAATAATTTAATCAATGGCTATTCATCTATATAGTTACAACCACTTTTTTAGACATGTGAGGATGCATGTGTTCTTATTGCTTATGTATATATAATAAGCAGAGTCTTAATGATTTAATTCAAGATTTTATGTTGCCTCTTTTGTGAGAATGTTAATTTATAGGGGGTTATATTTCACTTGGCTTATTTGTGTGGTTTATGTCTAAGGTCGTATGCATATATTTGTTTATCATAGAGACCCAATTGATATATAGTACAGGTATTTAATGCATAAATATGATCATAATGCACTAAAGTAGACAAGGGTAAAGGGGGGTGTGTGTGTGTGGTGTATGTATAGCATACATATGCATACTTATAATTAATTTTTAATTGATTATATGTAATTATGAAGCCTATATATGAATGTCATGATTCATTTGGTAAAAAGTTTTAGAATTCTTCCTCTAATGATTTTGAAATGGTTTATAACAGGATATTCTATTCCATTTTTTATATTTTTATTTCAGGGACAAAACATTTTATCAAAGGTAGTGCTGAAGTTGTCGGAGTAATGTCAGAGAATCCTTCAGTACTTAAATCTATTAACTAAAGTCATTAGTAAAACGTTGAAAAATAAGTTCTTAGCTAAAAGTTAGGGAAACAAAAGAAATAAGCAAGTTAATTGTCCTGACCTCTAGGGGCTGAGACTCTGAAGAAGTGATGAGACATATACACAGTTAAAATATTTAGGATAGACTATGATACGGGATATAAAAGAGAATTTGAAGCATTGCTATAAATTGAGTAAGAGAGGAGGGAGTTATTACAGTTGGTTATCTTGGTGAGAGTAATTTAAGCAGTGCTTGGAGCAAAATTTTCACACTCAGGTAGAGTGGGAAGAGAGATGGGAAATAAATGTATTTATTTAATTATTGAGCTCCTACCATTTTAGATGTTGTGTTAGATACTGGAAATACATTGCATAATGAAACAAAAATAGATCCTTCTTCTGTGGAATTTATCATGCATTGGCAAAGAATATTGAGAGTTGTTTCAAGTAGTTTGAATGGGTAAAGAGGGGCTAATGTGGGGAAAAACAGGAAAAGAGTGAAATCATGGGGAATAGTTTTGTTTGGATTTTAGTTGGCGATATGTTTCTAGGATTAGAGAAACATGTTTGGTTTTAGTCTGCGTGGAAGGAACCAGGGAAATGGAGAAATGCAAATGTAGAGACAAATAGCTGATCCAGTAAAATTGGTAAAGGAATGAAAGTGTTATAATTAAAATTAATACGAGTGATTATTTTGGAAAATAGAGTATAGGTGAAGATAAATAGATATTTTAACATTTAAAGAAGAAAAATTCGGTGATATTCACATCAAATAGCCTCATCTTTTTTTAAACGAGGAGGCTAATTAATTTGAAACTAAGGAAGTCAGGGCAAGGTTTGAGCTCATGGAGAATAGAGATTTTGAAAAATGCTGAAAGAGCTGGAACATTTTAAGTGGTCACATCCTGTTCAGGACTAGATGCGGTCAGACAGCATGGTTGTGTTGAATATCTAAGAGGTATGAGCAAACAGACATGATTCTTGCCTGCATGTAATATTTGGTCTAGTGAAAGGCACACCCAATAATCAATTATACAAATAAATATTAACCGGTCAACTGGCAAGAAAAATATGCCAGAGGATAGATTTCATAGAGAGCTAGAGAGCTGGAGAGAACCCAGTGACTGACTTTAGATCCCGGGCAGCAAATAAAGCTAAGTGTAGGGTCTGATAGACCAGGCTGATAGAGAAAGATAAAGGAAGGGTAAATTATGAGTTCAGTAGGAGTCAGAAAGTAGAATAAGTGAAAATACATGTAACTGCAGTTAGAAAGCAGGCTTTCCATGTTTTACTAGAAGCAGAGCAATTACAAGAGACAAACCGACTCCAGGCAAAACTGTAATTTGTGTGCTTCAAGGAGAAATGGAGCCCTGACACAGGTGTGTGCAGCAACCCCACACTCACCAGGCGGTCCATGTCATGTATCCAGCAATTGACCATATTAATTCACAAACATGGACTATTCCAAGGCAGTATAAGTCATATATGAAACAACATTTCTTTCTACTTTTGTTTAAAGCTATTAATGTTGCACTCACTTACATTCAGTGTATTAGATGATGTTCCAGCTTATTTGGCCCCTCTCTCATTGGGTGATCTGGCAGCCTCTCAGTAAAGAGAACCATTTCTAGAAAAGACATAATATTAAAACATGGCATTACATTTAAGAAAGTTAGAAAATAGCCCAAGCAAAGTTATTTGAAATTAAAACCGACCTAATGGAATAACCTACATGGAATAATTTATATTTCTCTACAGTTCAGTTTATCCAAGTGTATATTCATTTTATATTATGTCATGCTTGAGGCTTTCCCAGAATAAAAAAGGCTTTCTGCAAATTGATGCTAATCACAATATTTGGTTCTGAGAAAAATCTCACTTTATCAAATTTGTCTTTCTATTGGACTGTTGAGTAAGATTTTTAACAAAGGAAAAAAGGCATATCTGGTGCTGTTTATCCCTGCTTCTTTTGCAGGGTCTATTTTTGTCAAATGAGTTTATTTCTCATTTAAACATACTGTGCCTTTTCATGCCTCTATACCATTTTTCATTCTATCTTATTCACTTCAAATGTCATTATTCTTTTGTCTATTCCTATTTCTTATCCACAAACTCATAGTCATTATTTAATACCCAGCTCAAATATGACCTTTTCCGCCTGAAGTTGCCAATCAAAATTAATCTGTACTTCATCCGTAATCCCACAGACCTTTGTTTGTCATATTTTATGAGATTTATAGCCAGTGTTCCTAATTCTATGTCCCTGCCTTTGCACTCTGAAGGCAGGGAAAATGCTTTATCTGCATGTGCGTGTGTGTGTGCACTCGTGTGTTTACTTTCTTTAATCACCACTTGCCTTATGCAAATAATAGACATTCACACATTACTTTCGATTCCTCCTTACTCTATCCTGGAGTAAATTAGACTTAGTTAGTACTGCTATAGTTTATGCTATAATAATGTAACATTTATTTCCAATTAAAACACTCTTTTTTCCACTTGGCTTCCAGAGCACCATTCTCTCAAGTTTTCCTCCCGCGATGGGTCAAACCTTCTTAGTCTCCTCTGTGGTTTCCTTCTAAATGTAACAATAAATGGCTTATCTCTTTGCTATCTCCTATTTCCTATTAGACTAACTCCCGTCAAGGTCTAATCCAGGTTTATGACTGTAAATACCATTTATACATCTGGAATTGATAGATTTATAGTTTAGCCCAGCCAACTCTCTACTTGATCTACACATTTAGAGTTCTAATAAGCTATTTAAATTTAGAATATCCTAAACGGAGCTCTCTGCCACTACCAATTTTCTCTTCCTGCCATTTCGTCTCAGGTCAGAACAACATCCTACCATTTTCTTATTCAAAAAGACTAACACATGACTTACACGTTGACCTTATTCTTTCCCTCCTTAATTTTGGTTCAAAGCACGTATGACCAACTAGCATACAACATCTTTGACAAACAGACTTTAAAATTGTTGTTTTCCTCCCATTAAGCAAGAAAACCCCATGAGTGTGGGGATTTCCATTAGTTTTTTGACTGCTGTACTCCTTGATTCCCTGAATAACAAAATATATTCAAAACAGGTATGTAGTAGTGGCTTAAATAATATTTTGTTGATTAAAAAAATGAAGTCGTTGTAGGTAGATTGCTAAATAATTTATTGATGGTATTAGGTTCAAAATTCAGTCCCTTTACAGCTTCCTCAACTGTGAGATGCGGAGGAAAATCTTGTGTCTTTATTATTGTTTTCATCTGTGTCTGTCCTGACAAAAGAGAGCCATGTCTGCTTGATAGAGTCATACACTGCACGTGAATGTTTCAGTCAACAACAGACCACTTATATGACAGTGGTCTCGTAAGATTATAATATCATATTTTCACTGTATCCTTTCTGTGTTTAGGTATTTTTAGATACACAAATACTTAGCATTGTGTTATAATTTCCTATAATATTTCAGTACAATAACACGCTGTACAGGTTTGTAGCTTAGGAGCAATGAGCATTACCACACAGCCTAGGTGTGTAGTAGAGTATACAATAAAGGTTTGCATACATACACTATATGATGTTCATCCAAGAATGAAATTGCCTAATGACGCATATTTTTAGAATGTATTCCCAAGTTATTCTATTGGAGCAGAAAACTATATTGGATGGTTTACTCCTTCAGATAACTAGAAAGTCACAGAATAAATGAGTTTATTCTTTTGATTTAAGAAAATTTAGGTTCTAGTTCCTCTTTCACCATGTTTAGTAATGTAACTTCATTCTGAATCTCAGGTCCTCAGCTATAAACTACAGTAATAACATATTCTCAATCACTCTTAAAAGGAAGCTGAGTAAATAAAATGGGACTATCAGTAAAAATGTGACCAGAGTACTAAAACTACTAAAAAGAATGCCAAATTATATATATAAAGCATAGTTTGAACCCTAACTCAGCCCTGAGAAAAAATGTGTATTGCAATGTAGCTGAGCTGCAATGATTTCCAGATATTGTAATTAATTTGTGGTGGACCCCATATTAAAGTTGGGTCTTTTGAATTGTAAAATAGGTTATTTTTCACCATAATAAGTTTTATTAACATCTAAAAATAGATAATTTATATTTGCCAGATGTATGGGGCCTGAGAAATATGTTATATACTAATAATAAAATTAATAATAGCAACAATAGTATCTAACACTTTCTTTTTTGTTGTTGTGGTTTTTTGTTGTTGTTTTTGTGTTTTTTTTGAGATGGAGTCTCGCTCTGTCACCCAGGCTGGAGTACAGTGGCGTGATCTCAGCTCACTGCAACCTCCATCTCCTGGGTTCACGCCATTCTCCTGCCTCAGCCTCCCAAGTAGCTGGGACTACAGGCACTCCTGCCACCAGGTCTGGCTAATTTTTGTGTTTTTAGTAGAGACAGGCTTTCACCATGTTAGCCACGATGGTCTCGATCTCCTAACCTCTTGATCCGCCCACCTGGGCCTCCTGAAGTGCTGGGATTACAGGCGTGAGCCACCGCTCCCGACCAGTATCTAACACTTTCAAGCACATACTATACATCAGACACTACATTAACTGATAACATCATGTATTATTTTATTTAATTCTCAATGCCGTGTAGCTGCAATTATAATCCTGTCTATTTAAAAATATAAAAACAGTCACAGGATGATTAAATAATTTGCATAAGGACACAAAGCCAGTAATGGTAAAACTGGGATGCCAACCTAGACAGCTTTGTAACACAAAAACAAATTTTAATTTGAAATTAGAATTATATAATCTGGAGTCCATACAGTAGAGTTCCAAGAAGGCAACCACTCTTCACTGAGAAAGTTTGGGGAGCATCTGGAAGACTAATTGTGAATTAAAAACAAAGTAACTAACATTGTCCGCAGATGTGCTATTAGCAATAGCAAAGACATGGAATCAACCCAGGTTTCCATCAATGGCAGATTGGATAAAGAAAATGTGGTACATATATATCTAATGGTAGACTGGACAAAGAAGATGTGGTACATATAAATGTGAAGTATTATGCAACCATAAAAATAGAACAAAATCATGTCCTTTGCAGCAGCATGGATGCAGTTTGAGGCCATAATCCTAAGTGAATTAACCCAGGAACAGAAAACCAAATACCGAATGTTCTCACTTATAAGTGTGAGCTAAACATTGAGCACAGAGATAAAAATATTTTAACAACAGACACTGCCGACTACTAGAGCGGGGAGGGAGGGTGGGAGATATGGGTTGAAAAACTACCTATCAGGTACTATGCTAATTAGCTGGGTGATGGAATCTATACTGAAAACCTCAGCATCACACAATATTCCCTTGTAATAAATCTGCACATACACCTCCATGTCTAATATAATAAAAGTTGAAATTTAAAATAAAACAGAGTAACTAATACTAGGATACTCTTAAGACACCATCACTTTATTGCATAACTCTTCAGTTGCAAAGTATTCAGTCTCCAATAATTCAGTCTTCTTCAGTGTGTGTGCCTGTGCGTGTGTGTGTGTGTGTGTGTGTGTGTGTGTGTGTGTAGGGTGGTGGTGGTTGTTGTTTCTGAGATGGAGTCTCATCCCAGCTGGAGTGAAGTGGCGTGATCGTGGCTCACTGAAGCCTCGAACTCCTGTGTTCAGGCAATTCTCCCACCTCAGCCTGCTGAGTAGCTGGGACAGAGGCACACGCCACCATGCCCAGCTTTTTGTTGTTGTTGTTGTTGTTTGTTTGTTTGTTTATAGAGCCAGGGTCTCCCACGTTTCCCAGGCTTGTCTTGAACTCCTGTGTTTAAGTAATCCTTCTGCCTTAGACTCCCAAAGTGCTGGAATTACAAGTGTGAGCTACTTGTAATTCACCCAGCCTGCTCTTCTTTGTAATTTATTCTGTGAACTGATTCATTGCAATGTTGGAGAGTAATAGCAGTAATTCACTCTGTGACTACCAAGAGCCAATAAAATAGTTATGACAAATATCAATCTAATTGGAAGCACCACTGCTTGAAGTCATTTAAAAAGCATCATTTGAGAATGTTCTTTCAGTAGTTATCCTGCATTGGCAGAAAGGGGCAAAGATGAATGAACAAGCGCATGTCTTCCTCCAGTTCTGACAGTTCCTTTCCTCCTGATAAACAGTTATTCTGGCAGGAAAAGAAACATAATCTCCCTCTGACCTTTCTCCGTTAGGATGAGTGCACCACAATGATTCTGTACTGTCACAGAGAAAAGATCCAAGCAAAGGGTGAGGAAAGCCTATGGATAATTCACTGTACTTGATAATATATTGAGGAACAGCTATAAAATATACCTATACTACACCAAGTAGAGACATTGTCAAATAACAACAACAATAACAATAACAATGGCAGCAAGCCTATGTGTTGAACACGTACTATGTGTCCAATATTATGATAAACACATTATATGACTTATTTTGATTCTGTGTTGTATAAATGTTTGAAAATGTCACTCATTAGTTTTAATCACCTACTGCCTCTTCTTAAATAAATGCGACGTTCCTAAAAATATGATCTAGTTGATTCAGACTTGACTACACTAAGGCCCAAGGGAGTGAAGTGATTGGTCCAGATCATAGCTGAATAACTTTCATCTGACACTCTA